CCATGTCTTACCTACAATGAATAAAGCTGTCATGAACATAGGAGTGCTGATTATCTCCTCAAGATACTGATTTAACTTCCTTTGGATATTTTCCCTGAAGTGGATCATATAGAGGTTCTATTTTTAATTGGTTGAGGAACATCCATACTGCTTTCTTCTTTCATTTCTTATTTTCTTCATTTTGTTCCTCTCTTTGCCTTCTCCACCTTCTAGAGGCCACCTACATGCCTCAGTTGTTGGCTCTTTCCCCCATCTCAAAGCCAGTAGTGTATTTCCTCTTATCTCTGACCCCCTGTCTCCCTCTTATAAGGACCCTTGTGATTACTTTAGCCCACATAGATAATGCAGGATAATCTTCCAATCTGAAGGTCCTTAATTTATTCACATCTGTAAAAGTCCTTTTGCTGTGTAAGTAATATACAACCACAGATGCCAGGGATTAGGATGTGGACACCCTGACAAAAGAGAAGGAGGAGGCACTGCTAAATCTATCACACCACCAAATATATATACAATAAATGATGAAACTCTGAAAATCAACTTTGGTGACCACCATGGTAATAATGGCTTTTTGGAGGAATTAATAAGGGATGATTGATTGTAAAACTAGGATGTAAATTAAGCAAAAACAGAATTCTACCTAATTTTAATGTATCTGCCCACAAGACACTTATAAATTACCAATAGAAAGATAATAACTTTATAACAGACAGCCCAAGTGTCCATCAATAGATGAATAGATAAAAAAGAGGTAGTGTGTATAGGTAGTGTGTGTGTGTATACATATATGTATATATGTATATATATATGTACATACATGGTATATAACAGAATATTATATGTATATATACATACAATGGAATATTGAATGAATATTATTCAGCCATCAAAAAGAATAAAATCTTGCCATTTGCAGTGACATAAATGGAGCTAGATAGTGTTATCCTAGTGAAATAAGACAGTCAGAGAAAGACAAATACCATATGATTTCGTTCATACATGGAATTTAAGCAGAGGAAAGAGAGAGAGAGAGAGAGAGAGAGAGAGAGAGAGAGAGACTAAAAAAACAAAAAACAAAAAACAGACTCTTAACAATAGAGAACAAACAGATGGTTACCAGAGGGGAGATGGGCAGGGGGATGGGTTAAATAACTGACGGGGATGAAGGAGGGCACTTGTTGTGATGAGCACTGGGTGTTGTATGGAAGTGTAGACTCGTTGTATTCTACACCTGAAACCAATATTACATTGTATGTTAACCTACTGGAATTTAAATAAAAACTTAAAAAAATTCCTGGCAGTCACCAATATCACTAATATCACAATGTCACTTCTATGGTATTCATGCCAATAAATGAATAAATTGAATGTAATCATGCATAAGTAAAACTTTAACTGAAAGATAATTATATTAAATAAATGGTCTATACTCTTCAAAAATTTTAGGCCCATTAAAGACAAAGGAAGACTAAGAAATGTTTCCACATTAGAGCACAGTAAGAGATGTAGTACCTAAATCCAACTTGTGATCCTGGATTAGATCTTTTCTTCACGAAATACTCCCATGAGCACTTAGGCGTAAGTATGTGTATTATTCTCCATATATTGCAGAGAAATATTTAAAGTGCATATTAACATTACATTACTATAGACAGAAAATAACGCACCCAGGGTAAAGTGTTAACATTTGTGGAATCCAGTGAAGGTCTACAGTAAGTGTACGTACTATTATTTACTTTTATGTAAGTTGTTCTTATTGTTGTTGTGCTTGTAAAATTATAATAAGAACAGGATGAATGTGAATTTGAAATTTTTATTATTTTTGAAATCACTTGATGTTGGCATGACATAACCAGTGACCCGCCAGCCCCATATTTGTCAAACATACAGAAGACATGACCCTGAAGCCAACAGAAGAACCGAGAATGAATGCACCTGCTATAAGCCAGAGCTGGTTTCTGTGATGACCTGGATGGTGTGCCTGTGCTAGTAATCCTGTACTGCTGAGGCACAACAGAGACATAATCAGGCGTGTGTGTATTCTGCACAGGAGCAAGTATAAGATGAAGCAGAAAAAGACTGGGAGACACCTGTCTGGCTGAGGGGGAGAGATTTCCTGGGGCCAAACAGCAGCTGGCACGTCAGTGGATTTGGCCACCAATGGCAGCTGGGAGAAGGCCAGATCCATCACTGGTTCTTCAGGAAGGTTGCCTATTGCCGAAATCCATGCATGCTGTGTAAATGCCAATTTTCCAAAAGTTAGTTTGAAGTTTAGACTTGGCAATGGGATGATCCCATGGGTGTTGGTGACCCTAAAAGGGACCCCCAAAGCTAAATATCTATTGCCATTACTCTGTTTTTGCCACATGCAAGTTAAGCTTAGACAAGTGCCCAAGTATAGCTCAGGTCATGATCTCGCAGTTTGTGAATTTGAGCCCCACGTTGGGCTCTGTGATGACAGCTCAAAGCCTGGAGCCTGCTTAGGATTCTGTGTCTCCTCTCTCTCTGCTCCTCCCCTGCTCACACTCAGTCTCTGTCTCTGTCTCTGTCTCTCTCTCCCTCTCCCTCTCTCTCCCTAAAAAATAAATAAACATTAAAAATTAAAAAAAAAACACTAAAGTTAGATACTGGGACACTCTGGTATTACATAAGACAACCCAAATAGTAAGATTTCCATAGTGCAAAACGATTTGAAGAACCAAGCTATTTTTTCTTGTTTTTTAAAGTTTGTTTTGTTTCGTTTTGTTTTTTTGCTTTGTGATGGTTCACCATATGTGGTCACAGTTATTCACTAAAAGTTCACCTGTATGGGTGATTCTTGGTTTTTCATTTCTTAGACAGTAGGTAAGGACAAGTGAATATACACCATATTGGTGTTTATACCTAGTTGGTCATAAAGGAAGGATCACAGATACACAGAGAAGAGAAAGTCAACAGAAACTAACAAGGTAGTTTCAACCACAGAGGAAATGGAGGGGAAGTTTGGGGATGTATTTTTCATCTTAATAATCTAGGAAATAAGGTTTTAATCATCATATCTAAACTTTAAAGGCCTCAAAAACTACAAATAAGATTTGGTTTACCATACAAAACTCAGATTTCAAGATTTTACTTTACAGTGAATTGTCCTTCATCTGCTCTAGCTAAATACAGCTGCCAGTTTAGTGTTATGTACACAGCACACTTATTTCATAAGGAGATGGTTGGCAAACATTATAGGTAACAAAACTGTTACTTTTATAAAATAAATACATTTATTTATATGGAAAATATAAATAAATAAATAAATAAATAAATAATAAATAAATAAAATATGGAAAAGTTGATTTTCATTATGTACTTTCTAATCTCAAACATTCAAATTATATTAAGCTTAAAAAGAAAACTAACATTTTCCATAAGCTTTTTTTTTCAAAATGATTGAATGATTTTATATTCCATAAACAATGTGTGATAGCTCCAATTACTTCATAGTTTTGCAACATTTGGGATTGTTATATTATCTATATGTTTATAGACATTTTACTGTGTGTTCCATATGCTTTCATCACAAAATTTTTCTACTATATTTTCAGGTAATTCTTTCAAACACCAATTGGATTCATGCAGTCATTTCCAGAGCTTAGAAGTCTGTCTGCCTCAGATATTCCTTACTGCTCCTCAGGCTAACTGTGTACCCAAAACACTTCTCCTAATAATCCCTGGCCTTTAATGACCCTTACCTTACAGGTTATATCACACAACTCTTTAAGTGATTTCCACCTCTTATACACTTCCCACTGCCTCGAGAAAGAAACACATATGCTTATGTTTACTTCAGTATTTCAGAGACTTTCTTGTTATAATTCATAAAACTCATTTTCTTACTGATGCTATAGGGTATTAAAGAATACAGACCAAAATTCCTCTCTACATTAATTCCAAAAAGAATAACAGGATTGCAGAAAAGATTTAAGATATTTCACTATGTCTTTAGTTAAACCAAAAATAGAAAACAAATTTTAGGGCAAATTCTTCCTTAAAAGGAAAAAATTAGAAGACAATAGTCTAGGTTTTTAAAAATTAAGTATATCATCATTCTACAGGAATTTTATTTCTTAATTTCAATTAAGGATAGGATACCTTTGTTTTATTTATTGTACCATGGAAAATACTGATTTTTGATCTTTGTTTTATTTTTACTTTTTTTTTTTTTAATTTTTTTTCAA